CTCCTGCCCGGGCCTCACCTCGGTGCGGTACACCAGCTGCTCGCTGCGGTCGTCATCAATGCGGTAGATCTCCAGGAAGGGATCCGACTTGCTGAAGAGGTCCTGCAGGAGAGAGGATGAGGTCTTCCTGCCCGCCATGTTCCCCTGCCTGCCATGTTCCCCTGTCCGCCATGTTCCCTCCCCGCCATCCCCCCTCCTCCCCCCCCCCCCCATGTCCCCCTGCCCGCCATGTCCCAATGCCCACCATGTTCCCTGCCCTTCCTACCTTGTCGTCCAGCTTCTTGGCACGGAAGGCGAGCTCCACGTAGCCATTGTTCCCCGAGATCTCCTCCGAAATGACCTGTCAGGACAGGCAGCCATGTGGGGGGGCTCAGCACCCGGCATGGCCCTGTCGCCCTGCCCTGGGTTCCCCCTGGCACAGTGGGGACCCCCCAGTGTGGCCAGCAGCCATCAATGGGGACCCTGAGCCCTCCACAGCCCCAAAAGCATGGGGGGGTTGTGGAGCTGGGTGACAGCCAGGGCAGGAGGAGGGGCACTGGGGACCCCCTGTGTGCCCCAGCTCAATGTCCCCTACCCCAGCTCAGTGCCACCCCACTGACCCAGTCCAGTGCCACCCACACGGCCCAGTCTGGTGCCACCCACAAGTCCCACTCAGTGTCATTGCATCACCTCAAATGGGTGCCACCCATGTGCCCCAGCTTGGTGCCACCCCAGTGTCCCAGTTCAGTGCCACCCACTTGTCCCAGCTTGGCATCATCCCAGTGTCCTAGGATGGTGCCACCCCAGTATCCCAGCTTGGTGTCACCCCAGGGTCCTGGTTTGGTGCCACCCACTTGCTCCAGCTGAGTGACACCCCAGTGTCCCAGTCTAGTGCCGTCCCAGTGCCCCAGCTCAGTGTCACCACAGGGTCCTGACTTAGTGACACCCACTTGTCCCAGTTCAGTACCATCCCAGTGTCCCAAAATGCTGTCACTCCAGTGTCCCAGTTTGGTGTCACCCCAGTGTCCCAGATCAATGCCACCCGCGTGTCCCAGCCCAACACCACCCCCGTGTCCCAGCCCCGTGCCCTCCTGGGCCACTCACTGTAATGGTGGACTTGCCCGTGAACTTCCCGTACTTGAGGAACAGCGGCTTCGTCACCCCCCTCTGCGCCC